ATCGTCCCCAAGCCACTCGCGTTGAGTTAAAGACCAGACCCCCCCCCCATCCCCCCAACCCCCTTCATTATTGTCATCATTCAAACACATTCAAAGGCTTTATTTGAGATTAGTCACTGTATAAGGATGGAAACATCCTGACAGAATACTTAAAAAACAAGCTTTGTCGTTGTGTAATGTGAAAATAAACTCGATTTTTACTTTTTTAAAGCACAAATCTGCTAATGAAAGTGAGCAGTGCTGATGTATTTATATTGAAAATGCCTCCCTGTGACTCTGAGGGGGCCGAGGTTATTTGTGGGATGTGTTGTGTAAGTTATTGTGATGTTCGTTGTCGTGATCCTACCTGGAATTAACCTGCTCACTGACCAATGATGACCATGATTGTGGACACTTTGTTTATATAGCAGGGGCATTTTTGTATGCTTTGTTCTTTTTAATAAATGATTCCAGTTGTATAATATTTTTCTTTCCTTCTTTAAGTGAACCTAACTATGAACCCACACTATTAACCCCACATAAATAAATATATACTTAACATAATATAACATAACAAAACATGATATATATTCGGGAAGTATATATTATTTTACATTTGAGAAATATAAAAATATATAACATAAATATTTGTTATCAATTATTTAAATATATTTCACATCTCATTATTATTTTCAAAACCAATTAATCTACTGATAAGTTAATTAAATATCAAACTATGTACCCATGACATTTTATTAGATTATGATATAATCTCAGAAGAATTTGGAGTGACTAAAAATTTGAGTTTTTTCTCATAAATGATCAGATATTAAAATGATACCCCTTTATTTTGGGGTAATTTAAGTTTCTAATACCGAAAATCTATCCACAACATAGTTTAGCTCCCAGACACAAAGTATCACCTTAAATTGAGGAGTAGTGGTGACAAAAGAGGAGAAATATGAATAAGAAAAATAATGTGGGACATGATAAATTGGATTAAACAGAATAATTCCAATTAAAGAATCCGATCCATCTGATGTTCATTCTCTGAGTTTGTGTTTTTGAGTGTTTAACGGCGTCTAAAATGAACAACAGGACTCTTAAATCCTCACATTATATCAGAGGTGCATATCAGTACAGTGTGTTGTCGCCCTTTAGTCCCAAACTCACAAAAAAATACTGACTGTGAGCATGCGTATCTGACAAATCTGCAAGAACACACAAACAGGCCATTGTTTCCTTTAGTCACGTATGAAAAATATCAGCTATGGACGATAATGAATGACAGGGAATGATACTGAAGAAATTGTTATGGTTTAAAGGGCTGTCAATAATTAACCTGGGCTATCTTTTCAGTGCTGAGCCCAAATTTGTCGCCTTGAGATTTATCATTTGCAGACTCCCCGTCAACGTGACGGCTTGCACAACTTCATCTAAAGTTCAAGGTACCAGAAACAGGTTTGGCCCGAGCTCTGGACTCTGCCATTCAGCTCCAGCACTGCTGACCGTTCGGCCCGTCCCCAGCCAGATCGGACCGAGTTAAAGGTAAGAGAAGCCACCTATCTAATGAGGAGATTTACACCATATTATAAATTAAATCACATTTTTTAAAAGTTGATTAGGAAAGAGAAAAATCGTTCATATTATGGATTTAAGTGTAAATCCATAATATGAAGACGTGTGAACAGCAAAGCCTCACGTCAGACATAAAGATCTGAATTTTTTTGCATTATTTCTGCATTTTCTCATGAAGAAAAAAACATTTATTTATATATTAAACTAAAAAAAAACAGTATGTTGAATAGAAAATAACAGAATCTTCTTATTATCATAATTTCTCTCATATTCAGAAGCCAATCAAAACATGATATTTGATCATAAAAGAATTATTTAATAATTTCAACACAAATCAGGTTTTCAGCCAATTTTGTCATTTTTAGTAATGAAAATTTAATGATTTTTCTGCGACAATTGACGAAAAAAAATCATTCTTTGACTTAAAAATTTGTGATAAAAATTCAGTCTTGTTGTAAAGTGACTACGAATTCTCATAAAACACCACTTTAAAAACTATGTTTTAGCTTCTAGTGCATATCTGGAGGTGATTGTTCATCCTGGCGTTAAGTTTAGGGAATGTGTGCTTTGCAGGAATCATGGGAGAGTGGGGTTTTCTGTCCTCGCTGCTGAATAAGGTGCAGTCCCACTCCACCGTGGTGGGGAAGGTCTGGCTCAGCGTGCTCTTCGTCTTCAGGATCATGATTATTGGAGCTGGAGCTGAAAAGGTCTTTTTTCATTCATTTATTTTTGCGTTAACACACCTTAAATGGCCCCCTCTAGTGGCCAGTGGGAGCACGACTGAGTAAAAAAAGCAGCAACATTCAGAAATCACCCCTTTACAATAAATGACCAAATAGTTCTAATTAAAACATTATGCATAATCATTTAATTTTTGCTATGACATTTTCCATTCTGATCCTGTTTGCATCTGAATCTTAACTGGCCTTTTAACCATTATAATGACCAACATATTCCAAAAGATTCAGCCAAAGAAACTGGAGCCTGTCTTTGTCGAAGGCTTTTAATCACAAGATATACAAAGTACACTTTAAAACTCAGTTCTGTTCCTAAAGTGTCCACTTTAAAACCTTCCTCTTTAAGCTATTTGTGTATAGTTATGTTACATAAGATGTATGAAAAAGATTTTAATTTCAAGACTTTAAGAGGACATTTCATTCAAATGAATTACAAGAAGGTGTGTCTGCTTTAAAGATAATGATATATGAGTCAACGATTGAGGGTTGGTTCAAGACTTCTGCACAAAACTGCATGTATGTTGTAAGAGTCATGACTTTAACTCACAAAATACACAGAGTAACACAATTTAAAGAGTTTTAAAGTCGATTTATTAAAAGTGGCAAAAGTTGTCATTGGATTAAATATCTTTGAGATTTGGTGATACTCTTATCTTTGTTTTACATGATCTGTGACTAACATTTGGTCAGAAAACTAAATAAAAAATAAGTTATTTTTAACTCATTGACTGCCAGCCATTTTCAGAACAGAGTCCCATACTGCCAGAGTTTTTTGAGCATTTTGACTGATTTTTCAAGAGCCACAGAATAGTTTGTGCTATGACTATGTAAACACCGAACACACCAAAAGAAAGAGTAGACTCTCTTCTTTCATCAGGAAAAAACATTTGTTTCTACCTTATTCCGTTTTTCCTGGACTTGCGTCTCACCGGCGACATGTTCTCTCATAGAACCGTTACCTTTTTCTTATTTGCCTACAGTCTATGCTCATCTCCCATCAAAAGTGGCACTGCCCCCTAGAGGGTCAATTTGTTACTACATACTCTGTCTAGAAGCCTGATATTTACGGACAAGCTTTAGCAGATCGTCCCCCAGCCACTCTCGTTGAAAAACATAAAAGACGTCTATAGACGTCTTTGGCAGCCAAAGAGTCAATGAAAAATGAAAAATCATTGGATTTTCTCATCTGATCGTGGCAGGTCTGGAGCGATGAGCAGTCCAAGATGGTGTGCAACACCAAGCAGCCCGGCTGTAAGAACGTCTGCTACGACCACGCCTTCCCCATCTCCCACATCCGCTTCTGGGTGCTGCAGATCATCTTCGTCTCCACGCCGACGCTCATCTACCTGGGCCACGTCATCCACGTCATCCACAAGGAGAACAAGATGAGGGAGCGCCTGCTCTCCAACTCCACGGGCACGGTGAAGAAAAACCCAAAGTACTCGGACGAGAAGGGCCACGTCACCATCAAAGGCAACCTGCTGGGGAACTACATGACCTCCATCGTGTTCAGGATCCTCCTGGAGGTGGGGTTCATCGTGGGCCAGTACTACCTGTACGGATTCGTCATGGAGCCCCTGATCGTGTGCTCCCGGAAGCCCTGCCCCTTCACGGTGGAGTGCTACATGTCCCGGCCCACCGAGAAGACCATCTTCATCATCTTCATGCTGGTGATGTCCTGCATCTCCGTCCTGCTCAACGTGGTGGAGATCTTCTACCTGGCGTGCTGCCGGTCGCGAAAGAGGAAGTCCAACACGGTGCCGGCGACCGCCCTCGCCGTGCACCCGCGGATCACCGGCGACAGCCTGAAGATCGGCCTCCACGACTCCAATATGGGCTGAGAAACGACTCTGAATCTGTCCCGGTCCGAGCAGACGCACGGTTTACAGACAAGAGAGGAGCCAAAAGCGATCACCACGACCAAGATGCTGTCTTACAAAGAATTATTTATTTATGAGGAGCTGAAGATTCGCACTAATTGTCTGGAATAATGGTCATGAAGAGTAATTTAGTAGAAACATTTGATTAGAGAAAACCGATAAATACATGCCGGCTTTTGTTGTCACATCAATAAGCAAAGGAAACTATTTTTGGGGGGTCTTTTTTGTTTTTTGCTTTGCGTTTTGTATGTTTTATAATACGGGAACCAGTTTTAAAAACTACTATTGTTAATTAGCAGCTGTAACTAGACCTTTTGAGACATCTGGTCTGCTTGGAGCTGAATGTCAGAGTGACCCGACCATGTGTTGACCAGCCACTCTGCCCCCCGTATAACCCAACATGCTGCATTTAGTCTGTCTAAAGGCGAGTAAAAACTGCCACGACGGCATTAATCTTTTGTTTTCCATTGGAAAATTTTACAGCTCTGTAAATGTTCCAATTACAAAGCACTTATCATAAATTGTTTTGTATACTAAGATGGTTTCGTGTGTCGTCTTTACTTCCTCGACTGTAAATTTGATAAATCCACTGTGTAAACAGGTTTATAAAAACATATGTTGGAGTTCAATGATATGTCTAACTCTGTTTATTCTTCACCATCACAGTATTCACAGTCGATCATATTAAATCTTCAGAACTGAGTTTAAATCACTGATTTTAAGATGATCCAGACAGAAAAGATAAGACGATCTTTTTCTATCATGATCTAAAAAAAAAGTTAGATTCCTATTTTCCAGTTTCGCTCAGTCCATGTCAAATTAGATTTGGGTTTTTTTCTTGAGTAATGTTGAATACGGATCCTGCCCTGCATGACTGAGCTTCTACTTACATCAGTGTTTACAGAAATGTAGTTGTTTTGGAGTCATTTTATGCTATTTCTTAATGCAACTTGTTACTAACGCACTGAGATACCATTTTGACCTATTATCTAGATTTAGCTGTCATTTTAAATTGTGGAAAAGAGTCAGAAATTCGAAAGATTTTTTCAGTAGTTGCAGTGAAAGAAAGTCAGTTTCTCATGCCAGATATGACAATATCTATCTATCTATCTATCTATCTATCTATCTATCTATCTATCTATCTATCTATCTATCTATCTATCTATCTATCTATCTATCTATCTATCTATCTATCTA